GATCGATTAAGATTTAGTTATAAAATACTTAAATTTACTTGAAATTTCTTTTCAGGATGGAGCAGATGTACGCTATTCCTGGATAGGTTCCACTGGGGAGTATACTTTTATGGAAGCCGACAACATCGGATTTGATGGTTCTAAACCTGACTTTGGTGCCCAGCACATACGTTCTGTGCTTCTTAAACCAAATGGCAATGAATACAAGTTTGATGTCACATCTAATAAGCTCACCTGGTTGTTTTCAATAACAACTAACTTTGGCGTGGTAAGGAGCAGTAAATGGATTGTTGGCGACCATGCATCCCGTGGACATTCCACTGCTAACTACAGGGTGATGTGGTTTGTCGCCAAATAACTGCTAAAAGGAAACGTAGCTACATGTATGTGATTAAGGAGGGAAATATATTAGATTTATTTTAATAATTGTATTACACACGCTTTTATGCATGTATATATACCTTTTTGCATTACAATGTGTTTTATTGACAATTCAAGAATTGGGTATCATCTAGCACAAACATTACTGAAACATGTCAACTCTAGCTGATAGTTTTGTAATAGTAATAGAAAGAACATAGAAACACGGGGCTATCTGATTGGTACGAGGGAGACTTACCCCCCCCCCCCCCCCCCCCAGTATAAATTAGATTGCCGAGTGTTTTGATGTTCTTTCTTTTTTTTGAATCATAGGCAAATATAAAAGCACATTTCCCTGTTGTCACAAGTTGAAAGCCAAGGAAAAAGTAATCAATGAACAAGCATCTGAATACATTTTTTATCGCTATTCTTTTCTCTGTCGTCACAAAAAGTAAACACAAGATAAAAAAACGTCAATCAATTGGCATGCTCTGTAGTGCGGGTAACTAAAAATGCACTCCAATTAACGCACTGTGCATGCATATGTACGTATACGATTTAACTCTGACACATTTTCAACAGAAAGGTCCCCACATTATGATACAATAAATAATATTGTACCCATTTCAGCTTTCATAAAAACGTTATCAGTTAAAACAAAGATATTTGCCTTTTATTAAGTTTAAATTATGTTTACTTTTACAAAATACTCACCTGGGTGGAATGGTTTGTGGCCAAGTAACTGATTCCTAAAAACGTAAAAAGACTTGCTCTAAAATCCATCAATAAGAATGACATTAAATTTGCTATATATTTATTATTCAAGCTTTATAGACATATGTTTAAATGTTTTTGCTTCACATATAGGATACAAATCTGAACATTATAATAATAATAGCATTTTGATTTATAATGACGGAGTACTTACTTGCCCGTGTGACATAATTGTTTGATAAAATCAGTCTTAAAGTAAAATATGTCTAGTTTCAACATCCACTAGACTGATATGCATATTTTGAAATATGCATTTCTTTGTGATTTCTATAAGTGGCAACTCAAAAAAGACCATATACTGTTTAGCTAAATTTATTTATTATGCCTTTTTATTAAGAGAAAATTAGATCTTTAGATATCTGTGCATTTTTACCTTAATCTGCCCGCATCTAATAATAGATAATGTATGTATGTTAGTTGCTTTTTTTAAACATCTCATATATTCTAGAAAAAAAATCTTTGTAAATCTAATTGATATTGTACTTTCTCTGTTCATATGTTTATATTCTGATGCTAAAAGAATTGTATAATGTTTAGAGCAATAAAGATTTTGAATTGAATTGAATATAACAACATTCTTAGCAAAATATAATAGTTATTGTTTGTTTAATTTTGTGTGTTTGTTTCCTTTTTAACCTTTGAGAAAATGGCTAGAAAAACAGATTTTAAAATCGTGTACAACACTAGAGAAAATATATTGTCTTATATTTACTTTTTATCAACATATTCGATATTGCCACTTACTATTGTAAATACATGTATGTTCTTTTTTATACATTGATACAGGTTAGAATTGTGTATAAAAGGGGTTTACTAGAAATTCATGTGTTGATGTCTTTCATACATAGATACATTATATATTATAATTATTAGATTAGTTTTGCTTTAAATATTATATTTCCAAAACAACTTTATTACATTACCATTATTTTTATTTCGTGACATCGCTACTTAAACTGCCTTTAATGTGTCCTTTTTTCACTATCTGTTTATAACCGCCCTTTAGCACCAACATTGTGTTGTGTGACCCCGAATCGAGCCTGCATCATTTTCAGTTTTGTCGTTTATAGCGTTCTTTAGGGATTCCGATTTTCTCTATTTTCAAACTCTTACTTTATCGCCTTCCTGTGTATGCATATTGTTTAATTTTGAATGGCTATTTAGTATATGTATATGCGTATGTGTATGCATGCATTGTATGTAATTTCTACAATAAAGTTAAAGTTAACTTGGATCTTCTTGTATATCACGACTATTTTCATCAGGACTTCATGATCCAATTATATCAGAGGAAACAAATATATATATCCTGACACCCTATAATATACGTTTTCTGGATTGTTTCAGTGTATACCGAAAATAACAGAATACAGATGTGCACTGAGATAATGAATGATATTTTCTTTTCATACACGAAGTTCATCTAGCGTAAAGGATGATACAAAGTCCAATTGCCAAAATATACATACACATATAATGGCAAATGTTTTCTGGAGAATTTTAACAATGTATTTACACAGAATACTGGCACATGTTTACCATAGCACAGACACGTTAGAATATTTCTATGTGTTTTCAAGAAATATGTCTCTGATTTACAATGTATAAATGGTGGTTGTGGAAATTTGATATAGAATTTAAAATTCCACAAACTCCTTTTAATCCTCCTTAAAATTCAAATCTATTACGTAATAATAATATAATAATGTATAAAGCATTTTAATAGTTAATAATGTGTTAAAAAATCATATTTTATTTCTCACTGTGAATGCCATATTATATCTTCACTGACTAGCTTTTTTTCAGACAGATATCTTCCTCTTGCTCGACAAAATGTAATACAACAAAGAACAATTGATTTATATTTACGAATCTGGAGCATTTCATGGTGTTTTATCCTTTCTGCGTGAAATACCAAAAGCAGTCTTGTCCGTCTTTCAATTTGAAAAATAATCATTGTTTTTAAAGTACTGACTGAATCAAAAAATGAATAGCAAATAATCCAGACCACAATCAGACGGCACGGGTGTACCGGCTGATATCGGTCTGCATTGACCACAAGAATTGATTTAGTTGCCACAAGAATGCTAACAGACAATCGGCAGTGGCATAGCAATGGCTGAACATGTTTCTCAAAGACCAAGGACACTCTGATCTTACAAAGAAGGACAAACGTAAACACTACATTGTTATGTACAGTACTTACACAATACTACATTGTTACACTTGCACAAAACTTCATTGTTATACTTGCACAACACTATGTACATTGTTATAGTAACACAACACATGGAAGGGATGGAACTATAATTATTACAAAAGGCGTAATGTAATGTACATGAAACACTTTTTTCTTTTCGTGTACAGTGCTATATTGTATAAAAGCTCCACACTTCGTATCAAATTATATATGATATATTTTTTCTGGTCTTTCTGGGTCAGGTCGTTTATTGCTTTTGAAGTAATTGATAGGGACGTGAGAGGTGTATGCTCCATTTTAGATAATCTCTCATGAACAAAGACTATCAAACAGAGTCTGCAAATACCAATTATGAATTTACGTTATATTTGCTCAAGAGGGATTTTTTTTCCAGAACTTTTTATCAAATATAAATAGCATTTCCGAAAGGCTCACTTATCTGCCAAATACGCTTTTAACAATTAAGGAATCAGTTCATGAAATAATCACTATACATGTATAGAGAACATAGTGCGTATCAAAAAGAAAGATGTTCTTTGATCATCGTAAATAAAACGCGCTTTCCTACAATTTGAAGGTTGTAAACCTTGTAATATTTTTTTGCAACATGTTAACTATCGTCTTAAAATCTTACCCATTTTCAATCGGTTGAAATACACAAATTAAAATAATTAAATTGCTGGCTTTGTTAGTGCCATGAACTTGAAATTGAAATCACCAAAATTTTCATTGAGATAAGCCATTTTATTTACATATTAGTGACTTCTGATCCAAGTGAAACATTTCAAGCTATGTGTCAGTAGCATTCCGTTATTGGCACAAATCATAGCTTTCTACATGATTTTCTAGATAATTAAGCTTACCTGAGCACAATCTGCTAAAGGCATTTTATTTCAGAACTATCCTTTACATTTTACTTTATATAGGCAATAACTATCCTTACAATTTAGGTTTAGACTTATCTTTAATAGAATGACAAGAATTATCCTTAACATTTTATCGAGATTCAAGGATTTCATTTTGTAATTTCAAAATGACCAATGAAAACTGCTCTCATATATTTAGTTCTTCCCTGTTATTTTTACAGGAAGTCAAGCTGAAAACAGACCAGCATCTTGCCGGAAAATCTTTATGAATCTGTTAAGTTTCCCATGGTATTCACCCACTAACTTTCCGTCTACAGAACGCGATGGAATGTTAATTATTTCCTTTACAGTAGAGTATTTTTGTATGATGTAAATATGTTCGAATTATCAAGTGATTTTGACTTGTTTTAAAAAAGGTGGCGCTGGACAATAGATTTACATTTTTCCGACGCACCAAACAACACTTAAGATAGTATGATAGCAATCATATTTCATCTCTTTTTTAAAAGATACGTCTTTCTTCACATGTTAAACTGACGTATCACAATATGATCTTTTAAGGCGTAACTTTAACTCCTGTCCTTCATCCACTTAAGAAAAACAATGAAAAGACATGTTCTTACTTCTTCCTCATATTTTACGGGGTTTACAAAAGAACATCAGTAAAGCCTTACTTTTCTAAACAAAAAAATCAAAATATTTGTTTTAACTTTTTCACCATCTAAAATGACATGTCGTGATATATATGCGAATATCTGCCTATCGAACGAATCTTGAAGTTTCTTTTATGTTAATGATAACATGATAAACTTGCTTTGTCGCTACTTAAGATGCTGGAGATGATAAAATATGAAAAGTCGACACGGAAGAAAATACAAATCAGCAATATAATAGACATATTATGCAATAATATTTCATTTAGGTTTCAATTCACGTAATGGATGTATACTTTGTTTTTGTGCTAGGGGTGTTGGTTACCGGAGGTGAAGCGGCTGTGTATAACGAGTAAGTTTAAAATAAAAATTCATTGTTAATATAATAATTTATTCTGCGATCAGTTCGTGTTATTTTCCCATTGCTAGTTAATTCTCTGGGTGATATGTAAGGCAGTGGTCACTGATATAGGACCCATTGAATATCTATAAATCTAATAAGGGGTGGTTTGATGAAGTGATTCATGAAACATAATTCTTTTAATATCATTGTTATTGATTTATCAGGAAAGGTAACTTAATTGGGATATCCTTCAATATTTTAAATCATTCTAGTAGAAATTTTCTTCGGGTCACTGAAACTGGTTCTTTGACTGTATAACTAACTTTATACATAGTATGACCATGTAGTGACATCATAATTTTACAAATACTATGTTCTTATTAATCTACTGTAGAATTTCATGCTTTGTTCAACTTATCTCCAGTGAAGCAGATAAACACGTCAATGAAATGCTCTGTTTTCATATACATGCATAAGAAATGCAGACGAATATGTCTACCTTCATAGGCACTTAGTGTCAACTCGATTGCCATATACTGCTGAATATCCCCGTATACTGAAAAGCTACATTTTCACTATAAATCTTCAGTATAAACTAATAAAGTTAAAGTAGGTGCCATGAATCTGATAGCTGAACAATGCAGTCGGATGACGGATACATGAAGATCCAGTCTTATTTCTAGCATCAAATCAACAGGATGCGCGTCTCTCACAAAAACTAGATTTTAATACTGTGTCGTCAAACAGTCGGGTTTTCTTTAAGCTTACTTTGTTACATGGATTTGATAGTAAAATAATTACCCATGACAGAATCAATTGAATTATTTTTTCAGTGGCGAAGGGAACAGTGGACCATCGCAAATAGGACAGGTAAAACTATTAAATTTCTCACCCAACTTTTATCAACTTATCTCATAACATTTTGTTTTGTATAATTTGTCTTTTCTAGTATATTTATATTTAAACCAGAGAATAGTCAAGAAGAAATACCCTTTTCCACGTAGATATTTTGATACGTTATATAATATAATATGTAGTAGAATTTTCTTGAGTAGAATGGTGTTCATAATGATAACTTTTGATAAGTTTTGTTATAAATAGTATGCCATTTTTGTCTTCTACGAGATAATTAATGCATATACCACATGACTTTGAGATTTAAATGATCTGCCTGGAGCCGAAAAAAAAACAAAAGAAAAGACCGGTCCTAGCTCCTCTGTGAATGTATTGGACCATTGGTGCAAAATACACCCTCTCGAGTGTCCAGATCTATTGTTAATCTTTAACATGATCATTGAATATAAGCTAGATAAATGAAATGAAGAATTGAAATATTTGATATATACTCGTAGAGTATAAAGTCAAAATGACTTAATGTGTGTATATACATGGAAAATATAAATTTATGCTGGTTTATTTTATGTTTATATTTTGTCAAGTTATTACTATGAATACGACCGCCACACCAACTGTATTTTCCCAACACAATAAGCAATTTGCTTCTGGTGTTTTTTTGTTTTTTGTTTTAAATTATCTAAACACATTCTAGCTACGTTTTTCTAGTATGCAATTTAAAAAATCAATTTTAAAACATTTCATACACATTGCTTCCATTATTATGATTATTATGTTACGCGTAGTAAATTGAAAATGTTCCTCTTTTTTGATAGTCATGGAGGTCGTGCTTTCAGTAAAAAGTGTTGAAAAAAATGTTGTTGAACATAAATCGAGGAGTTTCTTTTTGGTTGATATGAAACTAGTTTTCTCTTTAGCGTTAACGCAAACAAAAGCTTTATCAACCGGTTGCATACAAGCGCCCACTTAGACAAAAGAAATAGGATAAGATTGTGAAATCGGAATATATGATAGTAGACAGTACTGATTTCTGTATTCTTTGATAAAAGCTGGTCTCGATAATGAAGATGCTGCATTATAAATTCAGATTTTTCCAAGATGTGATGTTGGTGAAACTTGCACTATTGACCGGAACTGTCGGGCACCAGATGGAACAAGTTATTGTGTGAAAGGTAAGATACTACTATGTTTTATGAAACAAAACCACTCTTTTTGCTCTTTAAGTTAAATTTCAAGCTGCCTATTGCTAATTTAACGGTTAATTAATTAATAAATTCGGTTAATTAATTAATTAATTAATTAATTAAACAACATTAAATGGCCGCTGCGGTGGCTCTTCTAGTGGCATAAGCCTACTATGCTATTATCAGTAGTTGTTCTCAAGAATTTATGATAATGATATTGTTGTTTTGTGGTTGTTATTTTTTTATTTAAAAAATCATATTCTAAAATAGGATATAAACTGTTTGTAGTTCTTTATAAAATCGAAATAAGAGAGAGAATTCCTATTAGATTCTTTACTGTTTGATACCATTTGATTTACAGTGTATGTTGACATTTCAGAGTGCCCTGCAGGACAGTCAGAATGTACCCTGTATAACGGTACTTCTGGATGTTCATCATGTTGTGATGGTGTTCCAGAATGCGCAGACCTGTCAGATGAAGAGTCTTGCAATAAATGTAATTTCCATATTTGGTCATCAGAACCGGAAGTTCATGGAGAGCTATTTTTGTATAGGCAGGCGAGAATACCGGGCGTCGCTCGTCCATACGTTCATAGTCCTTTATTCGATGTTAACATTGGATTTTTCCTCTGAAAGTTTTGATATGAATTAACTTTAATGGTTCTTACGAGTATTCTCCCAAACTACAATAAAAGCATCAACCTCTTACAAACCTATAGAAAAATCGTCAGCATCTAGGCCAACTATGAAACAATAACTTAATTTGAAATATTTTGAATGTTTCAGATAAATGTAAAACAACATGGCGGATGGTATTCGAACATGACTCAAAGGGAAATGTCTTAGCTGGAAGTAAGTCAGACTTAAAGAACGCTGTCAGAAGGGTATGTTATTTTTCACGAACACAATTTCATCAAAATAAATGGTGATTCCATTTGTTTCTCTCATGCAATACCCATACCATTGACATTTCATCTTAACATTGTAGACTGAATTGAAATAAAACTGATTTCCAAATCAATAAAATAATGTCTTTAAACGCGAGCTGTTTTCATTTATTGTATCGGTAAAGAAAAACATTAAAACATTACAATTCAGCGCTATATTTTTAATGACATATACATTTTTTTATAATCATTAAATTTAGTACAAAAGTATATACATCCACATTTTTTTTTCAATTTGTTATTGACGTGAAAGAAGATAAATACTAAAACGAACTTTTAACATAGCACTTTGTGATTTTGTTGCTTGTAGGTAAGGAAATGGCTTTATGTTGAGACCTCTACAAAATTGATACACATAATAATTATGTAATTTTTTAGGGCGCTGAAATTAAAATGTTTAGTGGACATTATGTTGACAGCGCAGACACTACTCTGATAGTAAGAGACGAAGTATGCGTACAGAGCCTTCATCAGGTTTCTAAAGCATCATGGGCAGCGTTCCAGGTAAATCATACATGCATGCAAAGCAAATTTTGATATTCATTTAAAATGGATGAAGATTTCATTGCTGCTTCAATCAAGTGGGGATGAAACTAATTCTATCCATACATTTTATGGATCGCATAGTAAAAAACAGTTATATGTAAATGAGTATGAATAGAAAATCTGAAACTTTGTATCATACAACATATGTAGAGAAAGACTTAATCATTTTAAATAATACAACATGTTTTGTAGACTTAATCATTTTAAATATTACAACTTGTATTGTAAGACTAAATCATTTTAAATAATACAATGTGTTTTGTAATACTTAAACATTTTAAATTACACAACATGTATTGTCAGACTAAATCATTTTAAATTATACAATGTGCAACGTGTATTGTAAGACAGAATCATTTTAAATGATACAACATGTAATAAAAGACTTAACCATTACTTTAAATTATGGTGCAATTGTTATAAGACTACATCATTTTATTAACATCATAGAGTACATATTGTCAGACTGAACCATGACTTTAAAATCATATATGGAAGATTATTTTGAAGACTGTGCCTTGTAGCTATAAAATCATTTAGCATGTGTTGGATTCCGGCTGAACAATTACTTTACCATCACTTTACAAACGTTTAACGGAGTAGTGAGCCGTTATTGGAAGACTAAATCATTACTGCAATATAAAATCGTAGAGGAAATATAGGAGGAGAGAACTATTTAAGTTCATAATATTGTGTGACTTTTACACATGCAGGTAAAGGCATATTGGTGGTTTACGGTTGCTTGTACGAGCGGAGATTTCTCGATGTCACGGTGGTATGTTGGAGACCACACAAAACCAGCTGACAGTCAGGCGGCTTATGGAATCAAGTGGTTTGCAAGGTATTTATTTATCATGAAGAAAAATTACAATTCATTAGTATCACGTTTAATGTCTTTGGTGTGACACACTATTTGATTAAGATATCTTTATTTTCCATATTCCCTACTTATTCAAGATATTTCAAAATTTTGAAATGAAATATATAAACAAATGGTATAACAAGAATGAATGGCCCAATATTTACCTTATGTACAATGAGTTACATATTGATTTGAGCTTTATTTCGGGAATGAAATCAGGAAGCGTTTTGTCTGCAATAAGATATCTTTTTCATGTCACTTAATAAATGTATTTCACCAGTACTTTACAATGAGATATAAAAATTTAATAAACTTGAAAATTCAGTAAGATTACTTAACAAGTTATATCGTATAGTAAGTACACATTAATTCATTCATATGCTCATCTCTGAAAAATATCTCAATATTTAGTCTTAAAATCGATCCACTAAAATGCTTTTGGTAACGCCAGTTGCCTTCGTTACTAATAAAACAAATATATTTTTCATTCCTTAAATTACCATTGTATTGGATTATATGATAATTATCTAACACAGGGAGGTAGAAGACAAACATATGACTGCCATCCCAGCGACCGGAAATGATATCAGTGCAGTGAATGCACATATTCAAGCTGTTAAACAAAGTGGTTATGGTGTGACAGTTAAAAGAGAATACAAATCTCTTAACATTGAAAAATATTACAGAGCAGATAACCTTGAGGTTTCGTCAGATGACAAAGAGATTGTTGCCCAAACAGTTTGGAACTTGCGAAGAGAAAAATTTAAGACTGTAGTCAAAATTTGGGTAAACATGTTTCGTTAAACCATTCCGATGAAATTTGGAAAATTGAAAGTGGCATATGGTTTACAACAAAATATCAAATACACATTATGTATGTGTATTTCGTATCAAACTATATGATATACAATGTACACTCAAATGTTTCCATTTTCACTTTTATATGTTTAACAAGAGTTTACGTATATAATTCGTTTAAACCGGAGAATACAAATATCTCATACATGCCTTTCTTATTTAATTTTAGACATCAGGTCATTGGTTGTTTCAACATTTTGCTTCAAACGGACAAGTCGAAGAAAGTCAATATCTGGTAGGTGAAAACAGACGGTTCTCAATCGATTCAAGCAAACAGGAAACGAAATGGTACTTTGATCCATGTTGGCAGTTCGTGTATTCCCATGATCAGAATGGAATCCGTAAAGGAGGGTCAATACTCGAATTGATTAATGCAGTTAAAGCTGGACATCGTGTGAAAGTATTGATAAATAACAGAATATCTCAAGCTACTAATGTAATCGTAAAAACAGATGTAATTACTGCATTTCTACCAGATATACTTAAAAAATCCAGCATAGAAACGCTAGAGGATCCGACAGGCGCTAAAGGGAAATGGGATAGGATGTTGGTAAATACAAACGGTAAGGTAGAGACCGCAAATTACCTTGTTGGCGAGGGACAGGGCACGGTGTCAAGCTCGGCTGCCGATATGAAGTGGTTTATAGACCGTCGAGAATGGAAAATGGTACTTGATGTTGGACCCACTGTAAACAGTGGCTCAAAAGAACATTTGGCAAATGAAATTAAGGTACTAATTAGATGATTGGCGATTTTTTACAAAAACATATACCAAATAAAACCAATTATGTTTAGTTGTAAAACTGAATAAAGAATCTTAATTCAAACCAATATTTAAAGATTACAAAAATACGACAACAAACAGGGATTTTTCCAGGATTTTGGGAACACGACCCATACCCATGAAATTGGGAATTTCAGCGGTGTTTTATTAAAAATTGGGAAAAATGCATGACTGAAATTTTGCAGTGATTAAATAGATGCAAACAATTACTGGCATCTTCAAGAATTTTAGCATTATTACAGTGAAGAAGCCCTTATTTACAAAGATTTTAGAATCTTATTCAATATTTTTATTATTTAATGTTCAATTGGGAATTTTTTCCTGTGGATTGGGAAAATAATATACTATTTTCAATTGGGAATATGACCCAATTACGGCTATAAAATAAGCCAAAAATCCCTGACAAATATACGATATAAACTCCTTCATAACCACGTAATAGAAAAAATGATCGATTAAGATTTATTTATAAAACACTTAAATTTACTTGAAATTTCTTTTCAGGATGGAGCAGATGTACGCTATTCCTGGATAGGTTCCACTGGGGAATATACTTTTATGGAAGCCGACAACATCGAATTTGATGGTTCTAAACCGGACTTTGGTGCCCAGCACATACGTTCTGTGCTTCTTAAACCAAATGGCAACGAATACAAGTTTGATGTCACATCTAATAAGCTCACTTGGTTGTTTACAATAACGACTAACTCCGGCGTGGTAAGGAGCAGTAAATGGATTGTTGGCGACCATGTATCCCGTGGACATTCCACTGCTAACAACAGGGTGATGTGGTTTATCGCCAAATAACTGCTAAAAGGAAATGTAGCTACATGTATGTGATTAAGGAGGGAAATATATTAGATTTATTTTGATAATTGTATTACACACGCTTTTATGCATGTATATATATACCTTTTTGCATTACATGTGTTTTATTGACAATTCAAGAATTGGGTATCATTACTGAAACATGTCAATTTTAGCTGAAAGTTTTGTAATAGAAAGAACATCGAAACACGAGATAACTGATTTGTACGAGGGGGCTTGGCCCCAGAGTATAAATTAGATTGCTGAGTGTTTTGATGTTCTTTCTTTTTTGAATCATAGGCAAATATAAAAGCACATTCCCTGTTGTCACAATTTGAAAGCCAATAAAAAAAATAGTAACCAATGAACGAGCATTTGTATACAATTTTCTATTGCTATTCCTTCCTTTGTCTGTCGTCACAAAATGTAAACACAAGATAAAAAAGTCAATTAATTGGCATGCTCTGGAGTGCGGGAAACTAAAACTTGCATTCCAATTAACGCACTGTGCATGCATATGTATGCATACGATTTAACTCTGACACATTTTCAACAGAAAGGCCCCCAAACTATGATACAATAAAATAATATTGTACCCATTACATCAACATTTCAGCTTTCATATAAACGTTATCAATTTAAACAAAGATATTTGCATTTTATTAAGTTTTAATTATGTTTACTTTTACAAAATACTAACGTGAGGGTATGGTTTGTGGCCAAGTAAATGATTTCTAAAAACGTTAAAAGTCTTGCTCTAAATCCATCAATAAGAATGACATTAAATTTGCTATATATTTATTATTCAAGCTTTATAGACATATGTTTAAATGTTTTTGCTTCACAGATAGGATACAAATCTGAACATTAATTATAATAAAAGCATTTTGATTTATAATGACGGAGTACATAATTGTTTGATAAAATCAGTCTTAAAGTTAAATATGTCTAGTTTCAACATCCACTAGACTGATATGCATATTTTGAAATACATGTATGCATTTCTTTGTGATTTGTATAAATGGCAACTCAAAAAAGACCATTTACTGTACAGGTAATTTATTTTTTATGCCTTTTTATTAAGGGAAAATTAGATCTTTAGGTATCTGTGCATTTTTACCCTAATGTGCCCGCATCTTATAATAATGTATGTATATTAGTTGTTTTTTTTAAACATCTCATATATTCCAGATAAAAATCTTTGTAAATCTAATTGATATTGTACTTTCTCTGTTCATATGTGTATATGCTGATGCTAAAAGAATTGTATAATGTTTAGAGCAATAAAGATTTTGAATTAAATTGAATATAACAACATTCTCAGCAAAATATCATAGTTATTGTTTGTTTATTTTTGTGTGTGTTTTGTTTTCTTTTTAACCTTTGAGAAAATGGCTAGAAAATCAGATTTTGAAATCGTGTACAACACAAGAGAAAATATATTATCTTATATTTACTTTTTATCAACATATTCGATATTGCCACTTACTATTGTATAATGTTCTTTTTTATACATTGATACAAGTTAAAATTGTGTGTAAAAGGGGTTTACTAGAAATTCATGCGTTGGTGTCTTTCATACATAGATACATTACATTATTAGATTAGGTTTGCTTTAAATATTATATTTCCAAAACAACCTTATTACATTATTTTTATTTCGTGACATCGCTACTGAAACTGCCTTTAATGTTTCCCTTTTTTCACTCTGTTTATAACCCCACCCCCCTTTAGCACAAACATGTTATACTTTTTTTCTTTCTTTCTTTTTTGTGTTGTGTGACCCCGCATCGATCCTGCATCATTTTCAGTTTGTCGTTTTGGGCGTTCTTAAGGGATTCCGATTTTCTCTATTTTCAAACTCTTACTTTATCGCCTTCCTGTGTATGCATATTGTTTAATTTTGAATGGCTATTTAGTATATGTATATGCGTATGTGTATGCATGCATTGTATGTAATTTCTACAATAAAATTAAAGTTAACTTGGATCTTCTTGTATATCACGACTATTTTCATCAGGACTTCCTGATCCAATTATATCAGAGGAAACAAATATATATATCCTGACACCCTATAATATACGTTTTCTGGAGTGTTTCAGTGTATACCGAAAATAACAGAATACAGATGTGCACTGAGATAATGAATGATATTTTCTTTTCATACACGAAGTTCATCTAGCGTAAAGGATGATACAAAGTCCAATTGCCAAAATGTACATACACATATAATGGCAAATGTTTTCTGGAGAATTTTAACAATGTATTTACACAGAATACTGGTACATGTTTACCATAGCACAGACACGTTAGAATATTTCTATGTGTTTTCAAGAAATATGTCTCTGATTTACAATGTATAAATGGTGGTTGTTGAAATTTGATTTAGAATTTAAAATTCCACAAACTCCTTTTAATCCTCCTTAAAATTCAAATCAAATACGTAATAATAATATAATAATGTATAAAACATTTTAATAGTTAATAATGTGTTTAAAAAATCATATTTTATTTCTCACCGTGAATGCCACATGATCTCTTCACTGACTAGCTTTTTTTCAGACAGATATTTTCCTCTTGCTTGACAAAATGTAATACAACAAAGAACAATTGATTTATATTTACGAATCTGGAGCATTTCATATTGGTGTTTTATCATTTTTGCGTGAAATACCAAAAGCAGTCTTGTCCGTCTTTCAATTTGAAAAATAATCATTGTTTTTAAAGTACTGACTGAATCAAAAAATGAATAGCAAATAATCCAGACCACAATCGGCTAATTAAAATTAAATTGCTGGCTTTGTTAGTGCCATGAACTTGAAATTGAAATCACCAAAATTTTCATTGAGATAAGCCTTTTTATTTACATATTAGTGTGAAACATTTCAAGCTATGTGTCAGTAGCATTCCGTTATTGGCACAAATCATAGCTTTCTACATGATTTTCTAGATAATTAAGCTTACCTGAGCACAAACTGCTTAAGGCATTTTATTTCAGAACTATCCTTTACATTTTACTTTATATAGGCAATAACTATCCTTACAATTTAGGTTTAGACTTATCTTTACTAGAATGACAAGAATTATCCTTTACATTTTATTGAGATTCAAGAATTTCATTTTGTAATTTCAAAATGACCAATGAAAACTGCTCTCATGTATTTAGTCCTTCCCTGTAATTTTTACAGGAAGTCAAGCTGAAAACAGACATCTTGCCGGAAAATCTTTATGAATCTGTTATGTTTCCCATGGTATTCACCCACTAACTTTCCGTCTGCAGAAAGCGATGGCATGTTAATTATTTTCTTTACAGTAGAGTATTTTTGTATGATGTAAATATGTACGAATTATCAAGTGATTTTGACTTGTTTTAAAAAAGGTAGCGCTGGACAATAGATTTACATTTTTTTCGACGTACCAAACAACACTTAAGATAGTATGATAGCAATCATATTTCATCTCTTTTTTGAAAGATACGTCTTTCTTCACATGTTAAACTGACGTATCACAATATGATCTTTAAAGGCGTAACTATAACTCCCGTCCTCCATCCGCTTAAAAAACTCAAAATGAAAAGAAATTAAGATAGTTCTTCCTCGTATGGTACGGGGTTTACAAAAATAACATCATTTAGTAAAGCCTTACTTTTCTAAACAAAAGCTTGAAAATATTTGTTTTAACTTTTCCATCATCTTAAATGACAGGTCGTGATATATATCCCTGCCTGCACGAAATGTTTATCGTACGTATCTTGAAGTTTCTTCTTTTATAGCTAAAGTTAAGAATAAGTTACAAAGTTCATTTGCTTTGTCGTTACAAAAGATGCAGAGGAGATGTTAAAATATGAAGAGTTGACACGGAAGATATTATAAATCAGCATTTTATAATAAGAGACATATTTAGCAAACATATTTCATTTAGGTTTCAACTCACGTAATGGATGTATGCTTTGTTTTTGTGCTAGGGGTGTTGGTCACAGGAGGTAAAGCTGCTGTCTATAACGCGTAAGTTAAAAAAACTAGTTGTTCACTTTCTATAACTCGAAATAAAAAATTACATAACTACATTATATAAATTTAATTGATGAAATATTTTATTTTTTTGGTAACATGACATCATGTAACATCAATGCAATTCTAGATTCGAACAATTATTATTTTTCGTAGGATGTCCTCTTTTAGTTACGGTCAAATTTCAGTGACCGTTTGAAAAAACAACAACAACAAAGCAATGCTGCAGTTTTGAAAAACCGATGCTTTTATTTAGTATCATACTAGGACTGTTAAAAAATACATGTAATACTAATGCATCTTTAAAAATGGTTAAAAAACCAGCATATCGTTTCCCCTGTAAAACTTTTATACATTTATTATTTTTTATACTAGCAGATTCTGTATATGATATGTTTTCAGAAGAAAATTTAAATTATTTTTTTGGGGGCTTTTTTCTGGCTTCTGTATCAGTCAATTTTCCTGAATGTTCAATTCGCGAAGCTATCAGCAAACGAAGATACTAATCTAAGGTACACGCTTTTCATATTTATGAGACACAAATCGGAAGCAATATCAGAAAAGGTTTTATATTGCCACTGGATTTGCTTAAAAAGTGTGGTTTTTTTTGTAATAATTTAAGATATAATGTAACCAGTGAATACAAAGGCAATTTTTTTATTTTTTCTGAAAATATAAAACTTATGACCATATCTTGCTGAACATCTCCGTATACTGAAAAAGTTACATTTTCACTAAGCCTTTGGGGGATGTTCATTACAAAGTTGAAACTTATAGTGCCTATGAATCTGAAATACAGCCTTATTTCTAGTATCAAATCAACAGAATGCGGGTCTCAGACTAAAATTATATGGTTTCAAACAGCCATTTACCTTGTTTTTATCATTTAAATAATGGATTGAATAAATTTGATGGTAAGACAATAGGCTATGGCATAATTAATTAAGTTATTATTTCAGTGGCGAAGGAAACAGTGATCTGTTGCAAATTGGGCAGGTAAAATTATTAAATTTCTCACACTAGTTTTATCAACAAATCTCAAAGCAATTTTTATAATCAGTCTATTTTAGAATAAAAACATTCTTGTTTAAACCGGAGAATAGTCTAGAAGAATTACTCTTTTCCACGAAGATATTTAGAGGTAAATCGCCATTATGCGATAATAGCCCTCGAATCCATAATGTCATTTGGGCCTGCGGCACTCAGGGTATTTTGCTCATAAAAAGTTTTGTTGACTGCCTATTTCTAGTATGCAATTTAAAAACTTAATTTCAAAACATTTTATACACAGTGCTTCCATTATTATGCTACGCGTAGTGAACTAAAAATGTTCCTCTTATTTTTTATAGTCATTGAGGTCAAGTTTTCAGCAAAAAAAGTGTTCAAGAAGTATTATAGGAAATAAAATTGTACTGCTTTGTTGATAGAAAGTAGTTTTCTCTCAAAGCATCAAAAAGTTAACAAAGCAAACTAAAGCTTTAAAAACATTTTATAACAACCGATTGCATACAAACGCCCACTAAGACAAAAAATAGGACAATAACAGGTATACATGCATTGTCATTTATTTTGAAAAATCTATGTCATTTCCCGGAAAGTCTATGTCATTTCCCGGAAAGTCTATGTTACACGAAGATCAAGACGGCCCTGATTTCTGTATTATTTGATAAAAGTTGGTCTCGATAACGAAGATGCTGCATTATAAATTCAGATAATTCCGAGATGTGTTGTTGGTGAAACTTGCACAATTGACCGAAACTGCCGGGCACCAGATGGGACAAGTTATTGTGTAAAGGACACTTGGATAAAAGGCAAGACCAACTTACTTTCTTTACTGATCTAATTATGATTTCCATTTAAGTTTTACAATGTTAACGATTAGCATTTATTGAGCTGACCCTCTAGAGTGTGTCCTTGTACATTTTTTTATCCTAATAGCAAGCGTTACCTAGACTGCTTGCTTTTCAAGGAAAACAAAAACACGAAGCTCTCATTAGAGAAATTATCTAGAAGATTATGGTACATAACTTTCAATTGTAGTACTTCAACCATTTTCGTGCTGCTTGCGGACATTTTTTTTCTGTGCAGCAATATTTTAATGCCAATATGCGCTAATTTTTGTGTCATAATTTCTGCAAACATATCTTGAAAAGTGCAAGAGTGGTATTTGGAAAAATATGAGCCATTTGAATCGGACAATATTTTCTGGGACATGGTATAATCAGACCGTATTCTCCTTGTCGGGTAAAATGCGAAAAATTGCCGATTTTGGAATGGAAAATAGAAAAATAAGTTCAATAAAGATCAATCATTGAGGAATTGTTACTTTTATAACTAGGAGTTACATAAAAGATATTATTTCTTGTCTAGGTCCTTCCTTAATCCCTATTTTCCAAAATAATACGATTTCTCACCCCGATTCCAAAAAAAATGTCGCCATTGTTGACCTCGAACACCTATATACGAAATTTGAAATGGGCAAATACCTCAACATTGTACAGTTAATTGATGTAATGATTTGCATTAAAACTGTTCACATTTGTTTATGGAATGTTTTATTTGCATGAATTCTTGTTTATGGAATGTCTTATTTGCATGAATTCAAAGTGTGTGTCTTTTGTGTTTTTTTTAAACTTTTTGGCTGATCTAATCGTTTACAAATAATTAATGTACTTAAAACCATAATGTATGGTGGCTGATTTGTGCCATCCGTTTTTTTTCCCGCGAATCCGCCAAGCGAAAAGTCGAGAATTAACAAGTGAAAATAGCAGGGGCGCGGAGCGAAAACACGCTTATTAGCGTGAGCGCGGGCGAAAATATTTATTGTTATAGGATACTAATTAGCGTGCTGTTGTTCGCGCCCCAGCCAAATTATTCTTAAAAGCTCGACTTTTCGCCCCGCACTCCCTCTAATTTCTTTAAAATATATGAGACACGTTTTTCAAAGGATCTTCACGTGTTCTTAAAAAAATCTTTAATAGGGGACAATAATAATAATAATAATAATAATAATTGTTTACAAGTCGTCTTTCGATCAGACATAAAAACCGTATTTCAAATTACAAGCAACCTTACAGTGAACTCGCGAGTAACCGGACAACTGTTTTTTTTAGATTATGCAAGCAACTGTACAGTGAGAAAACTTCAACGGTAGCAATTTCAGTGTCAATATTTTCTTAACGAACGCGTAATCCTTAAATATTCCATCATGATATACTTGTAGTAATATATAAAATAGTCAACCAAACCAAACATTATCTCTTTTGTGCTACATATCATCAATTTTTTGAAGTATCACTAAAAAGAGCTTTATCTTATGGATTTTTTTTATAAAATTTATCAACTGCAAAATTGTATTGTTTCCATAATGTCATGATTGATTCAAAAAAGAGTTGTAACATAGAATGTCTCTGTTATTTATCACATATGGACATTGTATGTAAACAGAATAAATTATTTCGGAACAAAATATTATTCTACTATTTTATGAAGGGTCTTTATCCATTTAGCAATGTTTTCGTGCCATTTATTATTATGAATATTTACTTCGATATTTCTGTTATACAAGCGCATTTTTTTAAGTTTAACAATGATTTTTGCAGTAGCTATAAAGCTTTATACCCTTTAAAACTACGTTTTTTATTCTTTTATCTTTATATTGTGATTAAATTATAGAGTGCCTTGTGGGACAGTCATTGTGCAAACTATATAACGGTACCACCGGATGTTCATTATGTTGTGACGGTGTTCCAGAATGTGCTGATCTGTCAGACGAAGAACCTTGCAATAAATGTAACTTGTAACATTACTTGTTAACACTCGATGAAGTCTTTTGATAATTATCAACTGGGCAAATAAAATTCGTTATCGTTCTCTTCATTAGGAATGTTTGTTATTAATGTTAATAGAATGCCATTCATTTAAAGATAATATTCACTTTCACATGAAAAATATATTGCTTACTAGTATATCGTGTCAAGACTCGCAGAGTAACCCGTAACCTTACCACTTCCACTCGGAGCGTGCACGTCGCTGAGAAGGTATAGGACATCGGCAGAAGATTTGAATACTTGGGATGACAAAACAGCGGCCGTTGTCCTGACTAATGCCGACGGGAGTGGCCCTACGATGTAGACAGAAAGACGACAAGGATGGTTCACGCTCTTTAGTACAGGTTAGACGCCGGCTGGAAAGGCAGGCCCTTAGCTGGCATAACAGCCCTTTTCAGGGCTACCTTTTTCATATTGTCACTGGTTACTGCAGATTAAGGTTCTCATTGGCCGCCGTACGGTGACATACTTTTGACTCAAAATTCATATCTTTGGGTAATAGTCAGTGGAAATTGTATTAAGGTAAATTCTCACCACTTTGTGCTTCAAAATTAACCCTCTAAGGGTTTGACTGGTCCGCTCTCGACAGCGAAAGATGCTTTTTGTGCCCTTGCGGACGAATGGCCCTTTATTACACGTAGACTACCTACCTATCTAGTAACCCGTAACAGTTAATTATTTTTTCAAGTATGTAAAAATATGCATGTTTTCAACGTTTAAGACAAGTGTAAGGCGGCATGGCGAATGATATTTGAACATGACTCTAAAGGAAATGTTATTGCTGGGAGAAAGTCAGACTTAAAGAACGCTATTAGAAGGGTACGTCTTCTCAGAATATGTTACAAGTTTAGAATAATATTTCTATTTTTGTTAATCACATGTAATCTCAGTAATAATTATACCTTAATATTCCGCTCTTCGGTATTTTATCAATCATAGTACACAGTGGGTTATTATGTGTGTTATTCCTTTACCTTTAAATAGAATGATGACCTTAACATTGTGAAAGTCCGAATATCTATTTATAGAAGTAGTTTTAGTTACCGAAACGGTCATTCGTGTCGCGCAATGGTATTAAATCACGAACTGGAGAATTTTGCAGGAAATATTAAAACAATTAATTGTACTCTTAAAGTAGGCATGTTAACGAATTGTTACATCATAGGATTATCAGTTTTCGTCTGCAATTTTAACATGATTTGTTATGGGTTTATTGGCAGGAACACACTGATGGGTCAGAATAATTTATTAAAACACTAGATTGACCTCCCAAATAAATCAATTAACAGACTTTGTTCATTTCGACTATTATTATGTATGTTCCAAAGAAAATACCACATGAACTTGAAATTCTATCAAATAACCAATATTTATGATAATATCCAAAAATACCCCCTATATAGTATAAATAAACTTATACCATAGACGGGGGTATATTTTGGATATTATAGACCTGTATATTTTGGATATTATCGTTAATATTGATAGAATTAAAGTTCCTGTGAAAACATTTAATGTTCAAATCTCTAGCATGCCTACCAAAGTTCATGATGAACAATGTCTTTCGTCCGCCCATTCATAAATAATATACAATACTGGTTAAAACCAATTAATCATTGAAAAGTTTATAAGAATATCTGGTCATCAGATGTCTACTAGTTCATCTTCACTTGCTGCATTTCTTGCTCGGACGCCCTTTGATGCTTTGCATCAATACTTTTTAAGTTATCACTTGAAATGTATTATCGGTCTCAATGACACAAAAATAGGGGGTCATCGACTCGATTTTCTCGGCACACGCGATTTTAATTCTCCCATTCCATGCGTAAAAATATTACAGTGCATAGTGAAATAAGCTTCTTAAAAACTGGTGAGTGATACAAGTCAATCGTAGCCTTCTTGTATTTTACATTAATAACTACTATGTAACAACATTTAAATGTAACACCAATTAATGAAAGCGATTAAAGCGATTAAAATAATTGAGTAATTGAGGTCTACTCAGTGTTAAGTTAAAATCAATAATATATGTTGGGTTATGTATTTAACCTTACACTGGGTAGACCTCAATTACCCAATTACTTTAATGTATATGTGCTAAAGTACAGTGACACTAATTATTAAAATTACAAAATTTACAGATTTTTTTATACACACGTGTAATGCCTTTGTTAAGTATGGTGCTTTTAAGTTTTCACATCGAATGTAGGAACAGCGTTTTAGGCATGAATCTTTTGACAAATAATATATCTCATTGTGTAAAATCAAATAAATTTTCATGAATATATTTTCATTTTATTTTAGGGTGCTGAAATTAAAACTTTAACTTCAAATGACGAATATTCTCATGTCGCAGACACTATTTTAATAATTGGCGATGAGATTTGCGGACAGAGAATTTTCCACATGTCCAGAGGTTCAGGGGCAACGTTTCAGGTAATTAAGAATACCCGCAAAATTAAGAATACCCCGCGCTATTTGTTTTATTGGAGTGGTCATCAGACAAACCTCTTCAAAGTGTTGGAAATGACTGCTGGTGGCATCCATTTAAAATTGCTTATTAATTTGAAGTTAATGAATCTTAAAGCCTAAAATTACTAGAACCACTCAACAAAAACTGTAATGCGCATGCCCCGCTTCAAAATACGACTTTACTTAAACGAAATATTAACATCAAGATGAACGAATCGGTAAAAGGAGAAATAAGACAATGTCATTTACGTTACATTTATCACTTTGAATAGTGGTTGATCATAAATTGCAATACCTTTTTGTGTTTTCATGCTGCTAATATTCTTGCTTTTTTTGATGAAATATCATTGTGTTTTTCATTATTTGTCATGGACTTGCGATCAAACTGAGGAGGTTTTCATCTATCGGATAAGTATATGTTTTCATGTCTGGTATCTCCCATTTTCTAGATTTTTATGATATTAATTGCTATTGATCGATCTATCAAATAATGTAAGAAAACTAATACTCAACACTTGAGTACATGGAAAGATGCTTTATATTGTAGGCAAAAGTATATTGGTGGTTTACGGTTGCTTGTACGACCGGAGATTTGTCGATGTCACGGTGGTATGTTGGAGACCGCACAAAACCAGCTGACAGTCAATCAAATTCTGGGATGAAATGGTTTGCCAGGTAGCTAATTTTTACAAGCTAAACATTTAATAGATGACATTTACAATTATTACATTTGTATTATTACGATCTTTATAAATTGCACATGATCAGTAATAATTCAATTTATCATTTAATATGAAACGTCGGTTTTCCGACCGGAAAAGGGCATTTTACTCATAAAACATGCACACTATACAAATGTTTACATGATGCTGGGACGTTTGGTAGGAACGTATCAACCATAGCCATCCTGCAGCGAAGTTTAGGCAACTGAATGGAGTGTATGACGCCCCCTGGTTGCTTCCATAAGATTATCCTCACCAGCGTTAGATGCATGGATTGTAGCTGATTATTTGCAAAAACGTTAAAGGATAGCTATAAATAATTTTTACAAGACTGGCAAAGCAGACAGTCCTGAGACGGCTTCGGGTTACTACTCTAAACATTTGTTAATTTTGATTTTACAGAGACATTATTCTTTATTTAGTTTTTATATATTTTGTGATACACGTAAAAGACATTTATTTATACGAAGTCTGAATTATGCGTTTATTTATTCGCTATAAGAGTTTCTAAAAGTATGTCAGATATAACAAATTATACGAGTGTCAGGTAAGCGGAACCAAGTGAATATTAATTCTACAAATAGCACTGAGATAGAATCAGCAGACGTTACACCAACAAACCAATAAATTATTTCTTTCTATCGTTTGAGAAAGAGCACAGAGAGAGCATTTAACTGGCTGTTTTCATTGAAAAGCCTCCTGTTACCAGTTCAAGCTGCTATGAAACTATACAAAATGTTTCAATACTGATCAAACTTGGTGCAAATGTTGACCCTAGCCATTGTAGCAGCATGCTCAATCTCAAATTTCCTGTTACCATGGCATTGGGGCCAAAAATTACTATTTTGCGTTGATTCAAAGTGCAACTTCTCAATGGATTGAGATAGAGGCAAAGGCTTTACAGCGTTGATTACATGTTACGTTAAGATCGACTTTAAAACATTTTTAGCCTCTCACAAGTTCAAAACTTTCACGGCGATGAGGGGGCCTAATGACCCCTTCAAACCCCAAAGGAGAAGGGGGGCACATCCCCCTCTGGCACCCCCTTGATGCACCTTTTTATAGAGGCCGGCGCCGAAAATGTGATCAATTTTTAATCAACATCTCTCAAAACGAAATCAAGTGTTTAGGGATAAAATAGGGTATTTTTCGTTATTTGAGGCCAGAAATTTAGGGGAATGAAAAGCCGTCAAAAGACGTCTATATATGAGGGTAAAGGTCACGTTTAAAGAGTAAAAGCACTTCAGTCCTTACAAAAATTACTTTATTAGTTAACTAGATGAATGTAATGATAATAATTTTAAGTTCAGCAAGATGTCATTATATTTCAATGAACTTGATGTTCGAGTGTATTAATTCATCGTTTATAAATTCATTTTCTAATCGATTATACAACATAAATATTGTATTTTGGAATCATACGTGTAACATACATTTGAACTATTTTAAGTGTCATCAATGTTATTTGAAAAACTTTCAAGTCTGTTTCCTAAATTAAACGGTACCGGTGTAATTCATGAAAACCTGTTCAAGCCTTCAATTCTAATTGGGATTAGTAATAAGACAATCCTTGGGGTTAGTAATAAGACATAACAGCCAAAAACCAATTATCCTGTTTTTATAATTCATATCACTATAAATAACATTATTGCTTTAGCAGGATTCCAATACGTAAAAGGTCTACGTTAATTGATTTGATAAAGCCGTTGTTCTTAAAACTTAATTATCCTCCGCCGATGGAAATGTGAGGGGGATATTGTTTTGGCGTTGTCCGTTCGTCCGTCATTCCGTCCGTACCAATTTCGTTTCATCCCTATTTCTCTTCAACTACTCGCTAAAATTCAACAAAACTTGATGGCAGCCATCAATTCTAAGAGGAGATGCGCATATCCTTGTATTGTTCCGGTCCGACCATTCAACACAGAGTTATGGCCCTTGATAAGTTACACGTGTGTAGTATGCATATAGAGCAATATTTCTATTTTGCAATTGCTGATTTGATTTCAACAAAACTTTACGAGAACCATCAATACAATTTGCATCTTATTGGCATGTCTAGATTATACTATTTAACATGGAGTTATGACCTCTGTTATTGCCCTGATTTTTTTATCATGTACAAAGAATATTACTGTTTATGTTATAATAAATATATAAATAAAGCCTTGTGTCTCCAGTTGTTGTGTAATAAATAAAAGCCTTGTGTCTCCATTTGTTGTGTTAGTATTAACCTGTACTCGGTGGGGGTATAAATTCAACAAATTTGCTTGTATAATGTTTTTACATAGGGAGGTGGAAGACAAATATATGACTGCCGTCCCAGCGACCGGATATGGTATCAGTGCAGTGAATGCACATATTCTAGCTGTAAAACAAAGTGGTTATGGTGTGACTGTTAAGCAAGAATCCATATCTCTTAACAAGGAAGAATACTACAGAGCAGATAACCTTGAGGTTTCGTCAGATGACAAAGAGATCGTTGCCCAAACGGTTTGGAACTTGCTAAACGAAAAATACAAGACTGCAGTTAAAATCTCGGTAAACATTTGTTTAATTTAAGAATTGGATTTGCAATAAATGTTGACCAATTGATTTAACCGTAAAATATAATTGTCGATATTTATATGCGTTATATTTAAACCTGTTTTTCTGACCTTACATTATGCAATGATGTTCAATTCATTTTCGTGTGTAATTATGTAGAAAAGTTTCAGCCACTAAGCATGTACAAAAATGTTCTTAATTCCAGACATCAGGCAGTTGGTTATTTAAAAACTTTGCTTCAAACGGACAAGTAGAAGTAAGTACATATCTCGTAGGAGAAAATAAAAGGACCTCAATCGATTCTAGCAAACGGTCAACGAGATGGTTTTTTGATCCATGTTGGCAACTGGTGTATTCCAATGATCAGAGCGGAAAAAGTAAAGCAGGGTCGAAACAGAAATTGATGAATGCCATCAAAGCTGGGCATCGTGTCAAAGTAATGATTCAAAACAGACTGTCCGAAGCCACTAATGTTATGATAAATGGAGATGTGGTAACTGCGTTTCTACCAAATATGCTTAAAAAGTCTAGTTTAGAAACGGTTGAGGACCCAGTTGTCGCTGCAGGGAAATGGGATTGGATGTTGGTAAACACAAATGGTAAAGTAGAGAAAGCGAATTACCTTGTTGGTGACACACAGGGGTCAGTGTCAAGCTCGGCTGCTGTTATGAAGTGGTTTGTCGACCGGCGAGAATGGAATATGGTACTTGATGTTGGACCCAGTTCAGTAAATATTGGCTCTAAAGAGCACCTGGCAAAAGAAATAAAGGTACGGGCTCGGTAATTGAAAACATGTTTGAAACATAAACTCTTTCATACATGAATAAGAATGAATTTCAGGTTAACAGTTGCCCCGTACTTCATATCAGTGTTGTTTTATTTTTCTGGTCCTTCGGGATCATTGAGTTCAGCACTTTAAACTGTTGAGAATTAAGTACTGCTCGGGCCGGTGCTGGGGGCGTGAGGGATGTTGCATTTTATATTGTCTCTTAATGTACAGACTCAATCAAGCCAATTCTGCAATTTTAATGTAATTTTGCCTTTTTTAATGCTTCCGAGGGATCACTTTTTTCTATATATCGATATAAATATAAATTAAAACGATGCGGTCGCTGACAAACTAATAAATACTTTTGATAATTGTATTAAATTACATGGGTAAAATTTTTAAGGATTATTCCTGAAGTTCAGGATTTTCATTTTCCTGAAAGCCTTAAATTGCTGTGTAAAACTATAGAAAAACTGCTTAATTCAGTATTTCAGGATTTTTTTAAAATTTCCAACTTTTAACCAAGTAATACATTGTTGTACATAATTGATTGACACGATTAAGGCATTTTAAATTCCTTTTTGCCTTGATTACATTCCCATTATATTCAATGAATGTAACTTATTAAATATGAACAACGATTGGCCACGATAAAGTCATTTTAAGTCCAAACACACTTCTTTCAGAATGGAGCCGATATCCGATATGCATTGATAGGTTCTGGTTGGGAGTTTACTTTTATGGAAGCTGACAACATTGCATTTGACGGTCCCTCAGATTTCGGAGCCCAACACATGCGTTCTGTGCTTCTTAAACCAAATGGTAACGAATACATGTTTGATGTCACATCAAATAAGCTCACCTGGTTGTTTACAATAACGACTAACTCTGGCGTAGTAAGGAGCAGTAAATGGGTTGTTGGCGACCATACATCCCGTGGAGAGACCTCAGCTAACCAAAGGGTGATGTGGTTTGTCGCCAAATAACTGCTAAAAGGAAACATAACTACATGTATTTGATTATGGAAATGTCGCAACACCTCTTTCAAAATATTTTTGTATGGATAAATTCGTTTTTTTTTGTAATAATATCGTACTTTTATCAATTTGCTAGTTCGACCCCTAACTAATATTTTCCATTTCATGCGCAAACTGTCAAATAGCATTTGTTTAATAATGTATACTTATTGTAATATATATTTAGAAGTTTAAGTAGGATAGGCTAAAATACTTTATTGTAGGGAAAGATTACTTCCTCCTTCACATTGACGTTATTAAAGTACGATGATTAAATGGATTTCAAACTTTCTTTTTAGGTTTTCTTAACTTAACACACAAATAAATCAACTTTAAATATTAATATTTACAAAAAGAATACAAAGGTCATTGTGCACTGTAATTTAAAAAAAAAATAGTAAAAATAGCAACATTATCACACCTTCAGGGCACATGTTTTGTGTCAAACCGGTGTTATCGCTGTCTTGACAGCCAACAACTTATAGCAAAATAGAACGTGTTCTAATTTCCTCGCAAGGAATTATCTTTATGGATGTCACATAATTCTCAATAAAATGATTCAAGTAGGGTTTCTACATTATGCAAGACAAGAAAAGATGATACTTGCATGGCCTAAAGTGATTCTAAAAAGCGCTTTTCCTTAAGGCCTCAACAGACGGTAGGATTTTGAAGTACAACACCAATTAAAACTAAGATGTACAGACAAATCTTAATGTGTGAAGGCTACTATTTCTTGATTTCGGAAACCTTATGTCAAGATGTAAGGGATAGGACATGTTCTATTTTGAAAATCTTGTCGTAGGGATTTTTACAGACCTCCCACAATGACAAGTAACAGATAAGCAAATTATCTCCTGATAATGGGTGTAATGAATGAAATTCCAGAACAATTAGGGCTGAAACGTAAACATAGTAGTAAGATGGGGTAAAAATGATGTTGAAAAACTCTTCAGGAGACCCAAAGTTGTGTTATGTTCGAATCCCAAATTATTCCGAAAATGATTATGTCACGGTATTCAGTTGTTCTCTAATAACATGAATTATGGGAGGGGAGGTAGTTTGTAGGCGGCCAGATAGCTTAGTCAGTAGAGCCGCAGTACGGTATTCCGAGGGTCCCAGGTTTGAGTCTCGGTCAGGCTTCACATTTAAAAAATAAAATATATATATATATATATATATATATATATATATATATATATATATATATATATATATATATATATATATATATATATATATATATATATATATATATATATATTTAAAATGGGTGTGTTTCAATCATTACTCATGGCGAAAAAAAGTATTTAGTGAGTAAAGTATGTAAAGGATCAATGTAAAGGGATCCTTTTTAGGGAAAACCTCAGATGATTCCTACAGTGTAGAATTACCGTCTGAATGCAAGTGTTGTATTGTTTTGAAAATTGTACATTTTATCTCTAATTAGTGCTGTACAACTAAATCCTACCGTCTGTTGAGGCCTTTAATTGAAATATTAACAGCTATAATTATATTATTAAAATTAAGTACTGTTGCATTTGTGTGATACTCTTGTATAGTTTAGCAATGATTTGTTTTTTTTAAACACTTATATACTAAAAATAAGTTAATTTTACAGGATGTTGATAGCCTTAAGGCCTTAACAGAAAGTAAGATTTAGTTGTACAACATTAATTAAAGATATGATGTACACTTTTCAAAACAATTCAACACTTGCATTCAGAAGAATTTATTCACTATAATTACTGAAATATGTGTAGATGTTATATAATTGCTGGCATTGACCAATTGATTAAGAGATATGCCGCGGATAGTATGGGCAGTATTTAGGAAATTACCATGTTCTGAAATGAATAACATAACTAAGCACCCTATAGCCTGTTCTGTATTTTGTTGTCACTGTAAAAAAATATTTTTTGCAATGAGTAATGATGGAAACTCCTCCATTTTCCAAAAAAAGTCTATAACCATTTTTTTTAGTAAAATGGGATTACAACATGCCACAACTTGGGGGTTCCCCATGAGTTTTTCAACAGCCTTTTAACTCCATCTTACTACTATGTTTACATTTTAGCCGTAATTGTTCTGGAATTTCTTTCATTAAACACATTATGAGGGGATAATTGGGAAATATGTCACCTGTCATCGTCGGAGGTCTGTACAAGTAGAATTAAGAGATAGAACATGTCCTATCCTGTAAATCTATTGTACATCAAATCCTAGCTACCTGTCAGCGAGATTTTATCGACGTACAAACAGTTGCATTTTATTGTTGTCAAAAAGATGTACTGTTCCAAAATATGCTAGGATGTGATTCATAAGTGAGTATAAATCATCCTTTATGAGAAAAATGAACCGGGAGTGGTTAAAAGAAAACACTAACGCAGTGAAGAACATATATAAACCAAAGGAAATCTCATGATGGACGTGTGCTTTCTTTTCGTAGCCGGGGTTTTTGTTGTCGGAGGCGAGGCAGCTGTGGCCAACTCGTAAGTTAATGAAGATGTTTATATCTTAAGTTTATTAATTGAATTAATTGCATTCATTCTATTTATATGAATTTCAATTAATTTAAACAAAAATAATTTAACATTTAATGGTCCCATCGATTCTGCTTATATATTCTTTAACATTTATATTTTATTCATCAATTCCCTTTTCAAATGCTATTGCTATATCTAATGACACAATTTAAAGATTTCAATTTCAGTTTGAAATATGTCACTTTGCGTGCGACAGAGGATCGCGTTTTCTTTCGTATTATTTGACTAAAAAAAGAATCATGACTATTTGGTTTGACAGTAGGTTTGTCAATTAAAGAAGATAAAATTTATCTTACAGCGGCAAAGGAAACGGTGTACAGTCACATATAGGACAGGTAAAACTTCACAGTTTAGTGCTTTGTATAATTAACTTAAAATCATCATGTATTTAACTTCATCTTATAACACTTCAAGCTTAAAATATTAAGTTTAGTTTTTTATACCAAACATTTCAGAATATACTGTGAATGAATTATTCATAATTTCATCATTTCGATGAAATTTGATGAATTCAGATAATTGCAAGATGTGCTGTTTGGTGAAATGTGCATAATTGACCGGAACTGTCGGGCATATACTCGTATATAAGTTAAAATCCATTTAAAGTGTGTTTTTAATGAAATTTCAAGCTGCCCATTGCTAGTTTCAGGGTTATTAATTAATTAAAGATGCTAACAAATTTGGCGCCGCGATGGCTCTATTCTGGTGACATAACCGATTTTAAGTGAGAAAATTTCTATTTTATCTTTTTCTGTTTTATACCATTTTATTTCGAGTGTCTGTTGATATTTCAGAGTGCCCTGCAGGACAGTCAGAATATACCCTGTATAACGGTACTACCGTATGTTCATCATGCTGTGACGGTGTTCCAGAATGTGCAGACCTGTCAGATGAAGAGCCTTGCAATAAATGTAATTTGCATATTTGGTCATAAAAACTGGAAGTTCGTGGAGAGATTTTTTGTATAGGCGAGATTACCGGGCGTCGGTTTATAATTCGATGTTTACTCTGAACGTTTTGATTTGAATTTACTTCAAAATTCAAAGGGGTAACCCCCTAACTGCAATAAAAACATCCACTTGTTACAAACTATAGAAAAAATTATCAGCAAGCTCGTTTTTTTACCAAACGAATAGAGATTTTCAATTCATTTAGGAACAACTTCATTTAAGATTTTTTTAATGTTTCTGATAAATGTAAAACAACAAGGCGGATGGTGTTTGAACATGACTCAAAGGGACATGTCTTAGTTGGAAGTAAGTCGGACTTAAAGAATGCAGTCAGAAGGGTATGTTATTTTTCTAAACAAACGAATTCATCGAAATAAAAGGTGATTCATTTTGTTTCTCTTTACCATTGACATGTTGACATCATCGTGACATTGTAGACTAAATGAAAAATAAAACCAAAGTCCAAATCAATGAAGTAATGTCTTTAAACACGAGCTGTTTCAGGAAAATCCAGCACTATATTGTAACTGACGTACCAAAATAGGTACATCCACAATTTTTTAAATATGTTATTTGTCACACAAAAAATCGTTATAAACGTGAAACAAGACGAATATTTAAACGTACTTTTAACATAGGAAAAGCAATTGACAATGCAATTACCAATGGGTGATTTTGTTTCGTAGGTATGGTTATCAGAAATAGCTTTGTGTTTAGACCTCTTCAAAATTGATAACATGATATGTAATTCTTTTAGGGCGTTGAAATTAAAATGTTTAGAGGACAATATGTTGACCGCGCAGACACTACTCTGATAGTAGGAGACGAAGTGTGCGCACAGAACATTCATCACGTTTCTAAAGCATCATGTGCAATGTTCCAAGTAAATCACACATGCATGCAAAACATATTTTAATATTCATTTAAAATGGATAAGAAATTTTATTGCTGCTTCATTCTAGTGTTTTGAAAGAGAAATTTTCAGACTGGGAATGAAGCAAATCCTATCGATAACTTTTATGGATCAGAAAGTTATATTATATACATTTATATCTAAGTGAGTACGTATCGGACATCATAATTATTACTTTAAATCATATAGCATGTATTGTAAGACCACATCAGTATTTTGTACTGTAAGACTAAATCATTACTTTAAGTTATACAACATGTATTGTAAGACTTAATTGTTATTGTGTATCATACAACATGTATTGTAAGACTAAATTGTTATTGTGTATCATACAACATGTATTGTAAGACTAAATTGTTATTGTGTATCATACAACATGTATTGTAAGACTAAATTGTTATTGTGTATCATACAACATGTATTGTAAGACTAAATTGTTATTGTGTATCATACAACATGTATTGTAAGACTAAATCATTACTTTAAATTATAGTGCAACCGTTGTAAGACTACAACATCAATTTAAATTCATTTGATACGTATTTTAAGACTGTACCATAAATTTAAAATCATATAATTATATAACTTCATTTGGAAGACAGTGACATAATTCTATAAAATCATTGAGCATGTGCTGGAAAGCTGAACAATTACTTTATCATCACTTTAAAATCGTAGCACATTTATCGGAAGACTGAGCCATTACTTTAACAAGGCGATCGGTAAACCCGACATATGCTCCCCGAAGCAGGTGCCAAATGGTTCATGAGCAAGACAAGAACATATATATGGCAATGTTATTAAGTGGGCACATTGTATTTTTCATAAACAAAGATGTAAAGTGAATGTTTAACAGTTTATTGTCTCTCGGTACTGCACTCTGGCT